GTTATAAATTGCACAAATTGGATTATGTTATAAACAAGAAATAAATTTATTAACTATTTAAGTGATTATAAGGGATAGCAAGCAGATCAAAGCAGATTAGCTTAGTAAATAAACAAAAACTGCAAACTGACCTTAACACACTGGATAGGTAGGATATAAATTAGCAAATTCTCACCCTCAGTGATAAACAGGCTGGCAGATCCTTAAGGCACAGGTTGCCTTGGCTTTCCCAGGTTTTCATACACAGGCTAAAAATCCTCTAGCCTATGACCATTACTTCCCCCAGTTCAGTCTTTGTTCCTCAGGTGTTTCCAGGTGTGTTGTTGTAGGGAGAGTGAGGTCACCCTGTAATGTCATTTTCCCCCTTTTATATCTTCTCCTCACTTGCTGGAAAGCTCTTTTGCTGTGACCTGGGTTAAACAGTTCCCATTGTGTAGTGCTATCTCTGAGAGGTTTCTACTGTACACAGTTCCTGGAGTAATCCTTGTGCTTGTATCCATTTCCTCAATAAGCCAGTAACATTGTTTGGCCTTTTTACTGTTATACCTGAAAGGCTGCTTGAGGACATGTTTCAGCAACACATACATAGTCAAACTTCATAACTTCACACATGGTGATAGCACACACAATCCAATGAGACATTACTGTCTAGCAGATCAAGACTTTTAGAATGACACCTCACAAGGCACACTTTGTATAAGACGTATTCTAAGTACATGACAGTGGTGAATATTGGGGTGTCAGAGTGTAACAGGGGCCAAAATTGACAGTCCTGCTTCCTGTCTGTCACTCTTCTCCCTCAGCCTCAGGGAGGAAGCGGGCTTGGGTTTCAGTGCCTTGTGGGGCATACAGTGTACAATAGTGATGGCTGCAAACCCCATGGAGCTGGAAGGCTCTGATGATGTACATCCAAGCACTATGTGATCAGGCAGGCACTTTTGCTGGGCTGAAAATGGGTAGCAGAATAGGCAAAAGGAAGATATTGCAGAACTGGCCTCACTCTTTGCAAAATACCTTAAAACTGGGTCCCTTCCACTCACAAAAGTAGAGGAAAGACTCTAATTTCTTCCACATTTTTCATTAATTGCTTGTGGAAAAAATCAGGCTTCAGTGTGTTTCTGTTTTAGATCTGGCAAGAACCAGTCTGTCCCCTTGTCAGATGCATCTGACAAGGACTTAATTTCCAAAAGGGCTATTTTTCACAATAATGCAAGTTGAAAAGAAAAGAAAACCCTTAATGCTTTATGTTGCAAAGTGAAACTGCACATTCCATCATAAAGTGTTTTTTTATATTTCCCCCCCTGATTTCCAGATGCAAAGCATGAACAAAATGTTTGCTATTTATGGATTGATTAAATGCATAGAATGTGAGAGAGGAAGTTAGTGATGTTTCAATTATTCTCTTTGCCAGATGTCTAGAAGTTAACAAAGCACCAGGCTCTGGGAGGGAGTTAATTTGCTCTAATCTCAATATACATTTGGGTCTATGGGGGTTGATTTCCCCAGTTTTCTTTTGTACAATAACTAAAATAAATTAATAGCCTTATTGTTTAAATTCCAAATAGTTTTTAATTCTAAAATTCACTAACTACGAAGCTGAGCAGTTCCGAGCGCCACTAGAGGGAGCTTATACTTCTGAGAACTTGAAACCCCAGCTTCTTTTCCCAAAGAGATCAGTGAAAGATAATCATACAAAATAGCAGAAATAAAAAATGTTTATTATTTAACACAGTATTTATCTTTGAAGTAAATTTCTAATCTTCTTCCCACCAACAAATAGCATCTGTTAATGCACACTGAAGTAAATTAAAAAGAAAGTGTGCTTACTTTTTGCTAAAAGCAAAATACTACATGCGTTTTATTAATGCATTGCAGTTTAACAGTCAATGCATTTGAACTGTTCACTTGCCACAGTGCTTCAGCCTTTCTCTCTTAAAAAACTTTAAAAATCATTTGTGATTATTTCTAAAACTTTTACTTTGCAGTGTGATCAAAGTGTAGCAGTATTGAAACTTTGCTATTAGGGAATCGTTTAGCACCATGAGTGTACATTGCAGTGTACAGCAACCACTCAAGGCTAATAATTATATGCTAATCATTAGGAAGACAGTGCTGTAAATTAATATGCCATTATGTAAGTATTGAGACCTTGCCAAAGAGTCCTGTGCTGACAGATTTTCAGTGTAAAGGCACAGAGCAAAATCCAAACAGCACAAAGAGTATACACAGAGTCGGATTTGATGTGAATCAGCGGCAATCATATTAGAATCAAATCAGGCGTTCAGAGAAATGTTTGTAAAAGTGTAAACAGACTCAAATTTAGTCTGCTCTAAGGAGCTCCTCAGGTCACACTTAAGTTATTGCACCCGTGAAAATCTTGGTTCTTGCGCACAGCCTGCCACAGGAACTTAGAGTGGGTGCATTGTCCCGCTTCTCCACCACCCCATAATCCTGGGCTTTCAAGGGACTGTTTTGGCCCTCAGCGCTGAGTAGAGCTCTTATGTGCCTGTAGCAGCCAGGATGAGCAGGATTGCCCCAAGTCACTACACCTAGAAAAATGCAACCCATACCAACTGTCCCCAGAACTCCATGCACTGGGGGCACAGACCTGGTGGGAGGGAAAAAAAGCAGCCTAGGAAATTTGTAAAATTTTCATGTGATCTTTTTTTTTATATGCCAGATACAGGATGACTTCATGATTCATCTAAACAGGGCATCCCTACAACAGAATGTAATTAGTATCTGACTGTAACTCTTCTTTTTCAATTGTCAACTCAAAATGTTCAAACTTGGCTGCCTAAAATGAGGAACCCACAAGGGTTAAACACCTAAATTAGTGGCCTGATTTTCAGAGGTGCTTCAATGGGAGCTGCAAATCACTTTTTAATTTAGGTGCCTAAATATGAATTGAGCCATCCTTTAGCCACCCATGTTTGAAAATCTGGCATAGGCTCCTTTTACCCACAGAGATATTTGTCTCTATTATTGCAATCAGACAATACCTTTGCTTATACCTATGACCATTTATATATGATGTTTACTGTACATCTGACCAGACACAAATTGGTAAGTTAAATATAGTTCCTGATTTAATGTCACTGTGATGCAGACATGCACACTTATTTTATAACTACCCTGCTGCTGACTGAGTCAGTACCATCTCTGTAAGTGTCCTTCAACTTTGCACTCACAGATCTCAAAGTAATTGGTCTCCATTTCTCTTTCCCTTTTTAGATAGTCAGGCAGCAGGTGTTTGACCTTCTTTCGCCTCACTGGCTGCTGACTCAAGTTGCTTCTCAAATTCTCATTACAAAATCCTCTTCCACCCTTACCAGAGCACATCCCACGTTTCAAACGCAAAGTCACGTGAACTGCTTCTTTTCTTTTTATTGAGTTGGTTCTGATCATCCCCTCCCACGGCAATGCCTACGTGAGGAAATCTCCGTGGATCCCCTCAAGAGACACCCCCCACAAAATATTCCTTTGCGGAATGGGAGGAAAATAAATTAACCAGATATGCCAAATCCGCAAAAAAAAAAAACAAAGCAAAAATTGGGTTTGTTTTTGGCTTAATTGGCATGTGAGTTGCTTGTTGGCTAGTTTTTGGCTTGTGGCTTGTAGTTTGTTGCTTCTTTTTTTTGATCAGCTCCTGGCAAGCAGGGACAAAGGGAAGAAGAGAGTCAGGGTGCACAGCGGGCCCACCACAGTCCCAGACTGCACGCCGGGGGGGATCTAGTCACATAGAGTGTTGGGGTTCTTAGGGATTGGCTTGTTTTGGCCTTGTTTTGAAATGGGATTACCCTGATTTTTGGCTTATTGTGAAAGTCGGGGTGCTTATTTACCGCGTGAAAGTTGGCAAATGTGAAATTAACCCGTGAATAAGACAATGAAACAACCCTACCCCAACCCAAACAGAATGATTACAGGGAAGCCAGAAAGGTTAGGACCATCGATGAGTATAGGTGCTGGAACAAGGAGTGTGGGGTGCGGCACCCCCGTTCATGAGAGGTCCTTAGCCTTCACACTGGGGTTCCCCTCTTTCCACTACTGGCAAAAGGCTCCATACACACAGCCACACATTCACGCTGGCCATGGCTGCCTGCACCCAACATCCCATCCCATTAGGGGCCTCAGCTGAAAATAAAACCTAGCTTAATGCTGAGCCTTCCAAAAACATGCTCACACTCTACGGAACGACAAGAGATGTAGACGAAGTTGTGCTTTCTGGTAGCAGCAGCTGCAGTTTGCTTCTAACACAACCCAAGTGTGAGCCCTGGTGCAGTGCTAAGGCGGCAAAAATGCATCACCTACCCACATGCCTTCCCCCCCTCTGCGATTACCCTCACTGTTCCCCTTGCGTGTGGAAAAGCCATCTTTTCCTTGTGATTTTCCTAGTTAGGCAGCTGGCTGGGAAGGGATAATAAAGTCTGATGGAAGAAAGGCTGCACTATCTTCTGCAAATTCTTTTACTCAGAGGGATCAGAGAGGTCACTTGTGCATTAAAGACCTGATCCAAATTCCAGTGGAATCACTAGGAGTCTCACCAGTGACTTTAACAGGCCTTATAGCAACCTCTTATCTCCCAATACATGAAGAACAATCTCCCTAAGTGATATGAAATAACCTTCCTGCTGAAAGACTTACCAGCCAACTCCTCGTTAGTATAGTGGTTAGTATCCCCGCCTGTCACGCGGGAGACCGGGGTTCAATTCCCCGACGGGGAGGCAAAAATACCTTTTATTTCCTCTACTGCTTTATTTATTTAAGGTAAACAGAAACTAAAATATCCTTCCTACCTAGAAACGTTCATTTCTTTAACATTTTAAATACGCTTTAATTCTTTTAAGTTTTCTTTTTTAAAGGGAAAAAAGGCTAAAGCAGTGAACGTTTCAAAAATGCAGCGCCTCCCCGTCGGGGAATCGAACCCCGGTCTCCCGCGTGACAGGCGGGGATACTTACCACTATACTAACGAGGATCTTCCTGGCAACAGCCTGAAGATGCCTTCACTTCTAGCTCCCCTAACCGGAACCGCCATCGCTCGCGAGCCCGCGGGGGCTGCCAGGGCGGACGCTGAGAGCCACGGCGAGCGGCAGCGTTCCGGGCGCCGATACGTTGGGAGCGGGTGAAGGCGCGGGGCTCGGAGAGGCAGGAGACGCAGGCGGCGAAGTACTGGGGGCTCTTCGTGGGAGCCCTGCGAAGGTCAGGTCACAGGGCGCGGGGAGCGAGCGGAAGTGGAGCTCCTGGGCCCGCGAGGCTGCTCGGTCGGGGAGGGGGCGGAGGATGGCGGAGGTGAGGCTAGTGGGGGGCACGGGGAGGTGAGGGAGTGGCGGTTGCGGCCCGGGATAGGTGGGGGGCTGCCGGCTGGGGGGGGGGGGCTGTTCTCCGGGGGCGGGGGCTGCTCGGGGCGGCTGCCGGGCTCGTCCCGCTCGCTCTGAGGCCACTGGTGCCTGCCCCGCCACGTGCCGGGAGGGCGGCGGGGGGGTGTCTACATTGGCGGAGGGGCGGCCGCGATTCCGTCCGCGGCGGAGGTGCCTGTCCCGGGCCGGGCTGGGGGGTAAGGGGCCGTTCGGCGCCCTGGTCTCGAGGCTGCCGCGGGTCAGAGCCGGGAGTGGGAGGCTCGAGGCGACTGGACCGTTGCCGGCGGGGGGCGCCTGGCCGCGGTCAGGGCGCGCGGGACAGAGGCGGTCACTGGTGGGCCGTGTCCCCAGCCCGCTCGCTCGCTGCGAGTTGGGACGCGGCGCGGTTGGGAGGGAGCAGCCGTTAGCTTGTGGCGCTTGGTAATTTCTAACGCTGGGCGTCAGGGAGCTCAGCAGGACCTCGTGGCGCAACGGTAGCGCGTCTGACTCCAGATCAGAAGGCTGCGTGTTCGAATCACGTCGGGGTCAACTAGCGTTTTTTGGTTCTTTTCATTCCTTCTTTACTTCTGGTTCTTTAGCCTCCTACTCTGCATAACGCCCGCCGCCTCCCAGTCCTCCGCCCTGATCCGGTCCCTGGCATTACTGGTGCTCTGGGTGGCGACACAGCTACAAAACGGGGAATGTCCCAGAGCAGGAGACCCAGCTCTCAGCATTTCTGTGACAAGATACCCGGGGAGAAGGATTTTATGTAGTCAATACAACAAAACCTGAAGACCCCCATTTCCTTTCCCCTGCCTCACATCGTGGCGTTAGTATCTCGCATTCACGCAGTTCCCTGCTGGGGCACCCAAGGGCGCATTAGTGAGGAGTGAACAGTTCAGAGAAGATTTGAGAGTGAGGAAGAGGTTACTCACCGTGTGCAGTAGCTGCGGTTCCTTGAGAAGTGTGTCCCTGTGGGTGCTGGGTGCTCCACTCTAGGTGTCTTTGCATCTACCGATCTGAGGCGCACGGATACACCTGCAGTGGAGCACCCATAGAGACACTACTCAAAGAAGAAGAAAAGTTTAGTCACCTTGCGCACTAACGATGGTTTTTCGAGATGTGTCCCCCTTTGAGTGCTCCATTGTAGGTGTAGCCACATCCCTGGCCCTCACATTGGGGATGCAAAGACACCTAGAGTGCAGCACCCATAGGGACACTAGCTGAAGAAGAATCAATATTTCCCGGTAAAGCTACATTTTCCGGAGAAGGGCTATTTTGGCAGGCCACATCTCAGCCACCACTTTAGCATGGTTTGGTTTGGTTTGGTTAGCTGGCTTTGTCCATTAAAATTATGAATGGTACCTGAATACTGCTAACTGCAAAAATAATAACTTTGAGGCACTGATGTTGTAAACTTATAAAGCAAAGACATACTCCTTGGGCGTCCAAGCCTGGAGAACTATCCAGCCACACCAGTATCTTAAAGGTTTTGCCTGACAATAAATAAAAATTGTTCTGACCAAATCGTGATGCCTTGCAGTTATTATACTGCAGAATATACTCATCCATGAGTAAGGCTATGATTTAGTCCCGGGTATTTTAATAAAAGTCATGGACAGGTCATGGGCAATAAACAAAAATTCATGGCCTGTGACCTATTCATGACTTATACCCCTTATACTTATAATCTTCAGCGAGGGGGCCACTACGGGGGGGGGAGGTGGGGTACGTCTGGGGAGGCCACTACTGCGGGGAGCCAGGGGCAGCGGCACCAACTGCCAGGGACTTCTGAGCAGCGGCTGCTCCAGCCACCCTGGGACCACTGCTGGGGGCCACCGACAGCGGCTGCTGCCAAGGGTCGTCAACAGCGGCTTCTCCAGCCACCCTGGGACTGCTGCCGGGGGCCACCAACAGCAGCTGCTCTTCCCCCCCCCCAGGACCACTACTCAGGCAATCCCTGGGGCCGGCCATACTGGTCGCTGCTCGGGCAGTCCCCAGGGCCACCCGAGCAGTGGCTGGTGCATTTGGCCCCAAGCCCACTCCAGCAGCGGCTGGTACAGCTGGCTGCGGGGACGCCCAAGTGACTGGCTGTGGAGCTACTTTAGCAGCAGCTGGTGTGGCTGAACCCAGGGCCACCTGAACAGCTGGGGTCAGCCAAACTGGCCACCACAGAAGTCACAGAGGTTGCGGAAAGTCACGGAATCCATGACCTCCATGACAAACATGAAGCCCTATCCGTGAGCCCCAAAATAAATTGTGTTGGGTGTAGAGTATCTGTGAGTCAACATTCTGATTTTACATTATTTGTATAGTTTTTACTTTTTATCCAGATGGAAGAAAACATTCCTGAGACTGATTATTATGTGAAAATAAAATAAAATGTACATACGTGATTGAGTCATTTAAATTCCTGGAGTTAAATCATTTAAATTCCTGTGTTGTCTCTTTATATGTTTAGTATGAAAATAGAATCCTACAGCCAAACATTGCAAGTTGATTGACCACTTTTCACTTATCAGTACTTTAAAACATATCTAACATCAGACAGTCTGATACTAGTTAATTCATAACAGTATTGTCTTTCAGGTTTTATGCATCAGATTGGCCAAATCAGCATTTGTTTTCTAAATCAATTAGAATGGAAGAGATATAGGCCCTGATTTAGCAAAGCATTTCAGTGCATGGTTATTTAAGCATTTAGTCACATGCTTAACCAAGCACATGAGTTCATCACTATTTAGCTTCAATGGAACTACTTATGCTTAAGGAAAAGTGCTTAGCTGACTCAGGGCCTTAGTGAATGATTATTGCTGCACTAACATAATAGTAAAGATCACATCAGATAAAATTGTTATTATTTATTTATTTATTTAGAGTGTGTATGAAAGTATTTTTTAAAAACATATTTTAAAGACTTGGTCCTTGTGCCAAAGATCTTACTATTTAAATTAGATAAATATTATATAACGACAGCAGTAGGCACACATTAAAGTGAGAAGATATTCTCAAGAAAGAGCTAGCAGGGTAGGTAAAAAACGTGATTTTTTTTTCAATTTGTAAAGGGATTTGTTTGTAAGAAGAGAGGCAAGGAGCTTGGCACACAGGAAGCAGGAGGCTGTTTCAACTACAGAAAGTGGCATAAAAGAAGATGGGAAGCAAAGAAAAGAAAGGGAGTTTTAAGGGCTGGAGCTGGGGGTGGGGTAAATGAGAGCAAATATGGAGGAAGGGAACTGTGTTGTAAAGAGTCTTGAATACTGTCATAAATATAAAGGGAAGGGTAACCACCTTTCTGTATACAGTGCTATAAAATCCCTCCTGGCCAGAGGCAAAGTCCTTTTACCTGTAAAGGGTTAAGAAGCTCAGGTAACCTGGCTGGCACCTGACCCAAAATGACCTATGAGGGGACAAGATACTTTCAAATCTGGAGGGGCAGGGAAAAGCTTTTGTCTGTCTGTGTGATACCTTTGCCAGGAACAGATCAAGGATGCAAGCCCTCCAATTCCTGTAAAGCTAGTAAGTAATCCAGCTAGAAAGTGCGTTAGGTTTGCTTTGTTTTGGCTTGTGAAATTCGCTGTGCTGGAGGAAATGTGTATTCCTCTTTTTGTGTCTTTTTGTAACTTAAGGTTTTGCCTAGAGGGATTCTCTGTGTTTTGAATCTGACTGCCTGTAAGATTATCTTCCATTCTGACCTTACAGAGTTGTTCTCTTATCTTTTTTTTGTTCTTCTAATAAAGTTCTGGTTTTTAAGAATCTGACTGGGTTTTTTGGGTCTTAAAAATCCAAGGCTGGTCTGTGCTCATCTTGTTTATTCTCAAGCCTCCCCAGGAAAGGGGGTATAAGGGCTTGGGGGGGATATTTTGGGGAAATAGGAACTCCAAGTGGTCCTTTCCCTGATTGTTTGTTAAATCACTTGGTGGTGGCAGTGTTTATTTAATCCAAGGGCAAAGACTTTGTGCCTTGGGGAAGTTTTAATCTAAGTTGGTAGAAATAAGCTTAGGGGGTCTTTCATGCAGGTCCCCACATCTGTACCCTAGAGTTCAGAGTGGGGAAAGAACCCTGACAAAGATGAACAAAAGAAGATTGAATTTGGAGTGAAAGGAGAAAGTCAACAAAGGCATTTCAGGCATTGATAACGTTAGAGGGGTGTGACAGGCAGATGATTTCAAAGCAGCCTTTGGATGGATTGGAGTGGGAGATACCAAAGGCAAGAAGTCCATGGAGGAGAAAGTTACAGTAGCCAAGGCCACATCTACACTATCCACCGGATCGGCGGGTAGTGATCGATCTATTGGAGATCGATTTATCGTGTCTAGTGTAGACGCGATAAATCGATCCCCGAACACTCTGCCGTTGACTCCGGAACTCCACCACGGTGAGAGGCGGAAGCGGAGTCGATGGGGGAGTGGCGGCCATTGATCCCGTGCCGCGACGACGCGAAGTAAGTGATTCTAAGTCGATCTAAGATATGTCGACTTCAGCTATGCTATTCTCGTAGCTGAAGTTGTGTATCTTAGATCGATCCCCCCACCCCCCCAGTGTAGACCAGGCCCAAGACATGAGATGATCAAGACAAGAACTAAGATTTTAGCAACTGGGATAGAAAGGATAACATTTAATGAAGTTATAAAGGAGGAAATTACAAGATTTGGTGATAGCCTGGATGTTGAGGAAGGAGAAAGAGGTGTCAAAGATAAGAATAAGGTTTCAGGCTTAGGTACAGAGAAAATTGTTTGGTATCATTCAAACAATGACAGAAAAGAATGAGATAAGAGGTTTGGATGAGTTTTAGATCTACATCAGTCAGGTGGTATCACAGAAATTAAGTTACTGAAATTAGCAATGTTCTGTGTGTCTTGCTTTGAAAATAATTGTCTCTTCTTCTCCTAAACACTAAAGACCTGGAAATCTACTCCAGAAACATAAGGAGGAAAATCAAATCAGGTGCATATTCTGCTAGAAGCTTCCCATCAACTCCAGTCCTGAGAAAGTCCTCTGTTTCATCTTCCAAGCATGTTGTCTCTGTCAATGAAAAGGAGATAGATATAGGGAACAGCCAAATTGGCATGTATCTCTCTAACACCCTCCTGATAGCTTAGTATGAGTGCTGCTGCAAGCATTATTATCTTCTGCTAGGTGCCCTCCATTACATATACTGGGGCATCATTCACTGGCTATTACAGAGGTGATATTTTCAGGGGGTTGCAAGTTTTTCAAAGAGATTGACGTTTTAACAACACAGCATTATATTATGTCATTGGCGTGGGTTGTTCCATATGAGTTTATACTTCTCATTGTGATACAAGAAAATTTGGGGAGTGGCCTGTTTACAGCTGATTGTTGGCAAAGGCAGTATAATTTAAAAAATGTGATTGTATTTTTGATAATTGTAAGTGCATTCCCCCAGAGGCATGGACAATTGGCGCACTTCTTAAATCTGAAAAAAATAAATAAAATAGATGAAATCTACCTAAATCTGTCAACCAATTTGTCTACTTTCTTCATACCAGTGAGCCCCTTCTTTACAAAGTCAGACTTTTGACTTTCCCTAGGCTTCTAAGCTTTTGTCTGTACTAGACTAATAGTCATGGAAAGTCTATCCAGCTTTGTGTTCCCTTTAACAATACAATAGATCCTCTCTCCAAAAGAACCATGTCTAAAAAGCTATCTGTCTATATCTCACACTGCCATACCTAGGATTGCCATGTGTCCAGTTTTCGACCAGAACGCCCGGTCGAAAAGGGACCCTGGCGGCTCCAGTCAGCATTGCTTACCAGGCCGTTAGAAGTGCTCCAAGCGCCAGCTCTGCAGCTCCCACTGGCCGGGAACTGCGGGCAATGGGAGCTGCAGGCGCGGCGCCTGCGGATGGGGCAATGCACAGAGCTGCCTGGCCACGCTTCTGCATAGGAGCTGGAGCGGAGACATGCTGCTGCTTCCGGGAGCTGCCTGAGATAAGAACCACCCAGCCCCTGCACCCCTGCCCTCTGCCCCACCCTCTGAACCTCTTGATCCCATGCAGGAGCCCCCTCCTGCACACCAAATCCCTAATCCTTGGCCCCACACCAGAGCCTGCACCCCCAGCCAGAGCCCTCATCTCCCCCGCACATCCAACCCTCTGCCCCAGCCTGGAACCCCCTCCCGCACCCTGAATCCCTCATTTCTGGCCCTACCCTGAAACCCACATCCCCAGCCCAGAGCCCATACCCCCTCCCACACCACAACCCCCTGCCTCAGCCCAGAGTCCCCTCCCATACTTCAAACCCCTCTGCTCCACCCCCCCAGCCCAGAACCCCCTCCTGCACCCCAAACCTCTCATCCCTGGCCCAACCCCAGAGCCTGCATCCCCAGCCAGAGCCCTCACCCGCATCCCAACCCCCTGCCTCAGCCCAGAGCCCCCTCCCGCACCCTGAACTCATTTCTGGCCCCACCCTGAAGCCCTCACCCCCAGCCGGTGTCCTCACCCCCTCCTGCACCCTAACCCCCTGCCCCAGTCCAGTGAAAAGGAGTGAGTGAGTGAGTGATGATGTGGGGCGGGGGGGAAGGGGTGGAGTGAGCAGGGGCAGGGCCTCGGAGAAGGGGTGGGGCGGAGCCTTGGAAATGAGCAGGGCAGGGCAAGGGTGTTCAGTTTTGTGTGAGTAGAAAGTTGGCAACCCTAGCTGTACCTTGCCAGGCCTGCAACTTCATGGCCATGTCAAGGCACATTCAGTCCAAGGGATATGTACTTCTGCAGCTAACGTGCAGCCAGTTGACATCTGGAGGGCCTACTCTCCTTCAAAAGGTTATGACAAACTCACACTGAAGTGGGAGAATGGGGCCCCAGGAGATTTATTAGGTGGCCGCACAGAACTCTTTTGAAAACATTTACAAAGGATTACTGCTTGGACTCAGCCCCATGGCAAAAATCAAGGTTGGCCCATTGGCATTAGCTTTTACCAAGAATGGAGACATCCCACAGCATATGTTGTATCTTTGAAGAAGAGATAATTGTGTGCCTGTAATTGTTGTTCTCTGAAGATATACTGCCATTTAGAACAAAGCCCTTACGCTCACCTCTTTTGAGGTTGGGGTCTATAATTCTGTTACTCTTCCCCAAATTTCATAACATTAAAACTCTTGTTTATATAGGAACTATTGCTTGGGAACACGTATGGTGGCTATATCCCCCTGCTGTAGCAAACAGCTTTGGAACATTAAACTAAGGAAGTTTCTGTCTGCTCTTGTGCTGGGAACACACACTTGAATGGTGATCCAGTACAGTGTTTCTCAACCTTTTTGATATCAGGGACCGGCTTGTTGCCTTCCTAAACTGTTTCAGGGAAATCTCAGGGACCAGCACTAGTCTACAGACCAGTTGTTGAGAAACACGGAATTTCAGTACACGTGTAACATCTTCACAAAACAACA